CCGAACAGACGACCGACCGAGCCCGGCCGGGGAATTGAATCTTTGCTTGCTGTGACCTTTCCCCCACAGTCTCCAGTCGAGCCGAGCGGCAGACGCGGTGTTCCTTTGTTTCGCTTCATCACCAGTCGTCTGTCCTCTTCCGCATCCTCCCCCGCCTAGCTAACTAATCCCCCCTTTCTTACCCCCCCTTCGTCACAGACTAATACCCTTCCTGCGCAGTGGCGTTTTGGTGTGCATGGTCCCGAGAAGTGGTCGTCCTGCAAGCCCTTGATGCCTTCCCGTGTTCAGGCCCAAAGGGGTACTAGCGGGGGTTGAGAGAAAAGGGGAAGGGGGGGGGGGTGTAAAATGTGTCTTTTTGGACAGTTGCATTCCGAATGGAGATTTGGGGTGACCCAAAGAACCGCAGTACCGAGCCGGCATTGCGATCCCTCCAAGTAACCGACTGGCCACTCACGGCTCACGCCGGGTTCCCTCATCGAACGATTCACCAGACACCACAACCGAGCGTGTGTGTGTTTGCATTGATGTGTAAGTACACTTGTGCGAACAAGAGAGAAATGATCACAAACTCGGTCTCCCCGGCCGGTCGGCTTCGGCCATGCATGCGTGGCCATCTCACAGGTAGGCAACAGCAGGTAAAAACTGAGAGCAAGATGTCTATCTCCTTCGCCAAGACAAAATAAGAGAGGAGGAGAGGACGTTAAAGAACCAAGCCTTCTCTTCTGTCTAGGGTCCTATCCTGGTGACCATCAAGCAGCACGAAACCCACTGAACAAGCTCTGCCTATCAATCAGTTCATTGAGTCCCGTCAAATAAACTTTCGAACCTACTTGTGTACTTCGTACACAAGTCCCAAGCCATAACTTTCCTGTTCCATACCCACCTTCCGATATCCAATTCTGAGGGGTGTGCTCAGATGCTAGTTAGTTATTACATAGTCCCTAGCCGGTACTTGGTCATTTGTATGTCCCGCGGAGTTCACCGCCATAGTGTCGTGTAGTGAAGGGAGAAAACACGAGGAAAAGAACAATTGGCCCGCAGGTTGAGTGTGCAGGGATGGCGACTCCGACCCATGATTTCTCAATCTGTGGTTCCGGGTTTCGAAGGAGGGAGGCAGCCATTCCGCAGGACAGGACAAGTGTGCTGAACCGAAGAGTAGCGTACACTCGGAAGAGAAAAGACGAAGTCGCAACTCCATCCTTCGGCTTGGAGACCAAGGAAAAACAATTCCTTTTTCCCCCCACACAACCACCATTCGCTCGCTCGCCTACCCCTGTTTGAGCGGCCCCGAACTCAGCTGGGTGTGGGTGGGAACGCCCCCCCCCCCCCCCCCCCTCAAAAGCCAAGACTCCAAGAAGACGACCCAAGACCTGCCGCCCGTGACTTGGCAGTGTACGGTACCGGAACGGGTGTAATCTGTCCCTCATTTGAGAGTCTTGGGGGACGGTCCGGGCGGAACATTGGGCTCGCATAGAATTCCCGTGGTTGACAGGCAGCGGGCGTTTTCTTGGGTTTCTCGTAACGAATAAAGTAATGTCAACCTTGCCTCCGTTGGGGGAATGGGGAGAGAAAGGATGGATGCGAGTGAGGACTTGTTTAATTTGCGCAGAATTTCCCCCGCCTCGCGCAGCGTGCTGCACCTCGTGCTATTCGACAAGGGCTTCAGAGGATACCTGGGCTTGCATGTGAGCCGGGAAGCTGAGCGAGAACTCCGCCGGGCACTCCGACACAACGACTCGATGAGAAAGTTCTCCTTTGGCAAGGTTTGCGGGCCCTCGAGCGAAGACTCTAAACCGAAAAAATCCTACCTTCACCCACTCTGGCCATTGTGACTAATTAGCGTGTGTTCTCCTTCCTTCTTGTCCCGCGAAGCTGTTTGTTCGCACGCCGCTTGCTCCAGATTCAACTGCGTAATAGAGGTGGGGGAGGGGGGTAAACCCACAAACTCACCCGTTATTCGGTGAAGCCCTTCTGCAGGAGGAAAATGGAGCCAGGTCAGACTCGGTAGGAGTATTCGTACATACCAAGGGAGAGACGGAGGTTGAGAATTTGTGGATGGCTTGGGAATGTCTTCAAGCAACATTCGACTCATAACCTACATATTAGTGTTAAATCTGAAGAGCCCTATGAAACGAAGATCAGCTCAAATCGAATTCAACGTTCGATTAAATAGTACAACCAATAGCAGCCCTGATAAGAGGCTTCTCGCCTCGACCCGAATCTGGGGTTCTCGACTCGAAGATCACAGCACGGGCCAGGCAGCGCCAAGTCTCTAATTCTTCAACATGGCATTCTTTGAATTGCCGTCCGCAGAGCCAGTGTCTCTGCTATCACCTCACAGTACTTCGTACGTGGACACTAGCTGCGTGTGTCTGTTGCATGTGTTGCGGCGTGTGCGCATCAGTTCGTCGCCAGGTCAGTCTGTTTGGTCCCTAACCAAAGGGCGGCAGGGGACCACCAAGCAGAAACATAAAAATGAAAAAAATGGAAAAAAGGCAGAAAAATGATAAAATTACCCAGTCCATCTAGCACTCACCATCAGGAGTCAGCCTTGTCAGCTCACAGCAAGTGTCCATTGCACTCCTCACCAGTTTCCCCAATCATTTGTTGAATTCACACCCAGGTGCAGAACAGGCATGCCATTGCATGGGCATCAAGCATCAAGTTCTGGGTGTATCATGGCATAGCGTGCTTGCCCGCAGCGGTACAATGTGCCCCTTTTTCTCAACCAACGGGTTGGCCGCTTGGTAGGGAATGGTCCAAGGTAACCCCAGTG